ATTGAGCACTTAAAAGGTGGGCAGTGCAAAATAAGATATCAGCGGTGAGTGTAAAAGATACACTAGATTTTAAAGATGATAATGATAAAATTGCTCAATTTTTTTTAAATCTGTGAATTTTTTTATAAGAGTTTATTTTTACGTAATTTTGTGCATTTTTCCATCTCAGTTGTAATCCCCGTGGGCTTCCCATCACCAAATCACCCATGCGCCATCACCACAGTCCTGAGCGCTTCCCTCCCCCCCTACCTTTCTTGATCCCATTCCCCACTTCACTCCCATAAAATGTCTCTGGTATATAGCTGTTCGTCATTATTATTTTCTCGCCTGGTCTGTTATACTCCTGCTATGAGTGAAACCGTCTGGTATTTTTCCTTCTCTTTCTGGCTTATTTCACTAAGCAGTTCAATGGTAATTTTTATATTACATGCTATAGTTAATTTTGGGGTACAATATGATGATTTGACATATATATATATATCGCAAAATAATCACCGCAATAGGTTTCGTTAACATAATCTCACACAGTGACAACTTTTTTCTTGCAATGAAAACTTTTAAGATCTACTTCCTTAGCAATTTTCAATCATACAATAAAGTATTATTAGCTAAAGTCACAATGGGGTACATTATATCTTTGGGACTTAATAAATGGAAATTTGTACCTTTTGACCATATTCACACACTTGGCTCACTCCCACATATCTGCCTCTGGTAGCCACAATCTGCTTGGTCTCTATGAGTTCAGGGTTTTTTAGATTTCACATATATGTAAGATCACACAGTATCTGTCTTTCTCTGCCTGACTTAGCATAATGACCTTAATGTCCATCCATGTCACAAATGGCAAAGTTTTCTTCTCTTCAATGACTGAAACTACATTGTGTATGTGCACATGTGTATATGTATGTGAGTGTGTATATATATATATATATATATATACATACATTCTATGTATATGTGTATATATGTATATAATCACATTTTCTTTATGTGATCATCTGTTGGTAGACAGCTAAGTTGTTGTTTCCATATCTTGGCTATTATATATAGTGCTGCAATGAAATTAGAGGTGCATTTATTTTCTTAAATGAGTGTTTCTACTTTTTTTAAAAGAATTATTTATTTATGCATACAGAACTGGGGTATAGGCCAAAGGTACAGGGGTGGTGAGAGGATTCACCAGAGACAGAGTAGGGAGCAGAACAGGCAGATCTACTAGAATATGCTACTGAGGGAAACAGCGGGTGAGACAGGAGAGGTCTGCCAGGCCATGTGCATCACCTCTGGGCCAGGGATCAAGCTCTCACTGAAATGTCTGCAGCTAGCTTGCAGTGTTGCACTTTAACCCGTTGTGCCACCAGGAGGACCTAGTGATTCCACTTTCTTTAGATAAATACCCAGAAATAGAATTGCTAGATCATATACTAGTTCTGTTTTTAAAATTTTGAGGAACGCTTATACTTTTTTTGTTGTGGCTACACTAACTTGCATTCACACCCACAATGTACTAAAGGTTTTCTCCGTGTCTTCTTCTTGTTATCTTTTATCTTTTTGATAATAACCATTCCAATGGGCTCTCATTCCAACAGACATCACTGTGGTTTTGACTGGTATTTCCCTGATGATTAGTGAGGTCAAACACCCTTCATGTACTTGCTGTCTATTTCAAGTCCTCTTTGGAGAAATGTCTATTCCAAGCCTAGCCCATTTGTTAAATCAGATTGCAATTACTTTTTATTTTCTCTCTTTTTAAAAAAGATTTATTTATTTATGTATAGAAGAACTGGAATGTAGGCCAGACTTGTGAGGGAGGGGTGTGTATGAAAGAATTCACCAGAGACAGAGTGGGGAGCAAAACAGTTTATCCATTGAAATACACTGCTAAGGAGAGCATTGGGCAAGAGGAGAGGTCTTCTTCATCATATTGGTCAGCATGTGTGGGTGTAAGCATGGGAGGGTGTGTGTGTGTGTGTGTGTGTGTGCGCACGCGCGCGCGCGCGTGCTGCAGAGGCTGGCAACAGCTTGATGGCAACAGCTTGATAGCAACATCTTGATAGCACCGTCTTTAACCCCTGCACCACCAGGGAGGCTCTGTAATTATTTTTCAACATGGCTCCTAGATTGTGGAAAATGACACCTCAAATTATGTTTCTTCTGGAACAGCACTGACCAGTTTTCCTGTGAGGTAGAAATTGTTTATAAAATAAATTTTATAAATAGATGAGTCCTTCCAGCTGCTGTGTGAATTTGGGGAGTCAGAAGTGGCAGCCAGGACACCAGAAGCCAGGTGATAAGGGTGATGGAGGCCAGATCTGGGTAGGCAGTAGTGAGACTGAGATGACAACAGTAGCAGCAAACAGCAGACTAATGTAGTGGCAGCTGTGTGCCAAGTAGTATTCTAAGCATTTTGCATATTTATTACATCCTTTGAACCCTAGAAAGTAGGAGTTATTTCCATCTCAATTGTAGTGAGAAAACGGAGACATAGAGAGATGAGGTCACCTGTCTGAGACACATGGCTCCTCAGGTGACCATGACTATTGTGCTACTTTGAAAGTATAAGGAAACTGGGGACAGACTAGAAAGTGACCTCACAGACCCTGTTAAGGAAGGTGATGGAAACTGAGGGATCTTGGACAAGACCATGGGAAGAAAGTCAGTGGGAATGTAATACAGAACCAGTTGGAATGCACCCAACCTGGGGAGCCTGGGGGATAACACAGATGGATGCTGGAAACTGTTCTGGGGACAGAGATGTAGGTGGGGAGCTGATGTTGTGAAGGATATAAAATCCAGGGCCAAAAAGTAAAATACTCCCCTTTTCTCCAGGTAGGAACCAACTGTTGGGGGGGAACAGTAAGCAGGTCAAACAGGTGGGGGTCACTGTAAGTTACCTATGTCAGGCCTCCAAAGTCCATCTGTGCCCAATGAGGCAGCAAAGACCCACTGCCCAGGTGTCAATCAGGGAGGTTTCTGGTTCCATCTCACTGACCTGTAAACATGTAACTCACTTCTCCCACACCAGAAACCCCAAGTTCTTCCACTCCACAGGCATTTGCTTTTTTTTATATATATAAAATATTCATTTATTTATGAATACAGAACTGGGGTACAGGCCAGAAGTGCAGGGGCAGTGAGAGCCTCACCAGAGCAGAACAGGCAGATCAATGAAGTATACTGCTCAGGGGAGCATGGCATGACAGGAGAGGTCTGCTGTGCCACATGGGTCACCTCCCTGGCTGGGGAGAGATGGAACTCACGCTGAAGCGGCTGCAGCTAGCTTCAAGTGCTTTATTTTGATTTTTGAAAAGATTTATTTATTTATGCATACAGAACTGGGGTACAGGTGAGAGTTGCAAAGGAGGTGATAGGATTCACCAGAGACAGTGGAGAGCAAAGTAGGCAGATTTATGAAATACAATGCTGAGAGGAGCAGCTGGAGGTTCAGGAAAGATTTGCTGAAGATCCAGGATAGAACTCACACTGAAGGCTGGGGCTTGCTTTAACCTGTCTGGGCTGCGGTATTTGTTATAGCAGCTGGACCTGACTCAATCAGGTTGTGATAACTGCTCACATATAGCAGGGAAGTGGAAAGGACCGTAAGAGTGAGGGTGGGATGGAATTTTACTGGTGTGTGTGTATGTGGGGCAACATTTGGATTGAATCCTGAAGGTAGTTGAGGAGAAGTTATGCAAGTATCTCAAGGAACAGAGGCCTGGATGGAGGGGGAAACGAGTGCAAAAGTCCTGAGGTGGGACTGTATCTGCTGACTTTGAGAAAGGAGGTAGGTGTGACTGAAAGAAGTGAATGAGAGGAGGGAAAAGCAGAGAGGTGACTGTCATTGTTGTGCTTTCTTTGTGTCCCAAGCCATCCAAATCCTCATTCCACTTCAACCTTCAACATAGTCCTCGTGTTGCCACTAGAGGTCACTCTTTCAACGGTTCACAGGATCACCTCACTTGTCATCCTACATTGGAGATTGTGGTTGATTGTCATTGAACCCCAGTTGTGCCTCAGACACCTCACAAAGCGCTTTACACGGATAAACTCAGCTCCCCCTCCGCGCATTCATGAGTTAGGTGCATTTAAATCATTTTAACAGTTTTACTGAGGTATGCTATAAACCTCACACATTTAAAGTGTACAACCCGGTAAGTGTTCACATCATGGAAACCACACAAGATACCAACAAAGACGACGCATGTCCACCTCCCCCAAAGCATCATTTTGTCCTTTCGTACGTCCTTCCTTTCACCTCTGCCCATCCTACTCCCAGGCAACCACCCGTCTCCCTTCCGTTACCACAGATGAGATTGCATTTTCTAGAGTTTATATGAACGGGAGCATAGAGTATATACATGGGGGAGGGGGCGGCGGGGAGCGCGTTTGGTCTTTTTCCCTCAGCAAAATTATGAAGATTCGTCCACGTTGTTGTGTATATTTGAGCCTCATTTTGCTCTTAAGGAAACTGAGGCACGCATAGGTGTATGCTAGGTGGGAGGAGTGGATGGCGCCGGGCGGGTCCCGGCGGGTTCTGGATCCGCAACCGCGGAGGCGCCCTGGTCTGGGGCAGACACAGGTGAGTGCTCTCTGCCAGGTGTGGATCGCCGGCGACCCAGAGGGGGCGGTTTCGGGGGGCGTGTCCGGGGGCGTGTCCTAGGCGGGGCCTCCGGGCTCTGGGGCTTCAGATAAGGGCCTGCCGGGGACCGGGTGCGCCTGGGCTGGGCGATAAAGCCGGCTCGCGGGCGTGGGCGTCGTGGACGCCGCGGGAGGCACCACCCCTGGAGGCCGCTGCGGTTCAGCGCGGGCGCCCCAGCCTCGGGGG